AAGAACGACACATTGCCACGACCCGGAAACTTTTACACATCTCCCTACATTGCGCTTTTTTTTTTCCTCAAAGCACTGTAATACCCCTGGAGAATATTTTCCCGGTGACTCTTGCTAATCATTAAAGATCTCCGGTCACTACGGCCGTTCCCGAGAGTGAAGTAAGTCACTTAGGCCGAACCATTATAAATTTTTGCGTTTACCATTTATTCACTGTTTTATTGTTAACTGCTTGTTTATTTGTTCATTAATTGCACTCGTTCATATACTCAATTATTGATTTTGTGCAAAGCCAATTTGTGCATCATCAATTGCTCAGACTCAATCTCAAAGATTTTATTGGTCAGCAAATTGGAGATAGACGACCATGGTCCTGACCTTATCAACATCGGACGTGTACTAATCAATGAACCTCCAAAACTTACTTTTTTTTCCTAACAAAATCAACTAAGCCTAAGTAGTCATGATATATATACATCTCTCCAAAAAAAAAAATGAAGCTAAAATTAAACATTATTTGTATTAAACAAGCATAATTATTTACACCATAAAATAGAGTTTAACGAAGATACAAGAAAGAGCGAGAAAAAGAAAAAGGAAGTGATAGAGAAAGAATAAGTCTTTTATTTTTATCACGAGAAAAGGGCAATGATTATAATGTGGAGGAGGTTTCTAAATTTCAAGTTGTATTGATAATAATTTCTTCTTTACACAACATGGGTAACTTTTTGTAGCATCAAATGCAATGTATTATACTCCAGAATCATGGGCAGATTCAACATGAGGGTAGCGGGGCAGTTGTTCCCACTAGAATTTTTTTAAAAAAAAATTCGATGTTATTTGAAATTTTAAAAAAAAATTAAAAAGATCAAAACTTGCCCCCACTAAAATTTTTATAAAAAAATTTAATTTGTTAGAGTAACACTGTTGAAATTTAATTTGGTAAAGTTAAATCATTGTTATGATTCGATTATTAGTATATCTTAATATTTAACGGGATCTAGCATGTGTTAATCTAATAACAACAATAGATTAAATTTTTAAACTAAATACATATAGTGTTATTGGTAGTTTATATTTTAGGGGTTTTTTTCCAAAATGTGAGGGGGCCATGACCACTTTGTCGTGTCGGGCTGTCTCTGTGTATAATAATAATAATATACAATAAAATAATATTTTTGTATGCATGCAAATGATATTACGTGGACCAAAATCGAAAGACTGAATAGGCCATTGGATGGCCACTGGACCGTGTTGAATAGTGACCTATCAGTCTCGTCTCCAATAATTACATGTCATTCACCGAAAGCTACCGTCCATAATTAGCACAAGAGCAACGTAAGTTTAAAAAGTAAAAGTAAATTTAAAAATTAAATTAAATTTAATAATTATAATTATTAATTTTACTGTAAATTTTAATATTTATTGAGATTTATTATCTATTTAATAGTTAAAATTATTAAATTTAATTTTTAAATACGTCTAACTCCCCCCTCTCCTTTTCAAATTCAAAGTCTTTCAAACCGTGTCATACCGTTTGGCGGAGTGTTCGTTGCATTACTTTGAAGAGTAATGCCTTTTTGTGTCATTCAAAAAAAGAAAAATCAATTATATACCTTTTTGTGTCTGTCCAAGACGACAAATCCGTTCTCTCCGCCCTCTGATTATGATAGGCGGGTTTGTTGCATTATTTTGAAAAGTAATGTTATATAGACTTAAAAATTAGATTCAATAATTATAACTATTAAATAGGTATTAGATCCTAATAAATACTGAAATTCACAGTAAAATTAATTATTATAATTATCAAGTCTAATTTTTAATTCTACTTTTTAAGTCCACGTAACATTGCTCATATTTACATCCGACGTATATTAGTTAATGAAGGTATTGAAAGATTCAAAGAGAAGATGTTTACCATTCACACTCGTCTGAACGTCTTAGAAAAAAAGAAAATTTTGATTACTAAGATGAAAATGAGGAAAATGTTTCATTACATTGACTCGCAGAATAACAACATCATCAAGCAAATTTATAAGGTTTTATTAAATTGGGGGAATATTACGGTACGAATTTAATTTCCACTTTCCTATTGAGAAAAAACTGTAACAGATAATAAGTTTCATCTTAAATGTAATCAATTTCACCCAAAAAATTAGTAAATTCTACCCAGAATGTGATATAAATACCCAAAAAAGTAATAAGTGATAAGACATCAAAATTTTTTTTTCCTGTACCATAATCAAACCCTTATTAAATATACTATATCGTGTGAAGTGCTATTTTCAACAAGCTTTTTTTTTCTTCATTTTGTTAATTAAGTCTCATTTTCACATTTAGTGATGATCCTCAGTTGATTTCTATCGATAGTAGTTGGAAAATTTATGAGAATCCAAAAAAAGAAAAAGTTGCCTAAATGTGAAAATGATATCTTTTGTCGAATCCCCATAGTCCACTTTTTCCCTTATATAATCTATAGTCCCCATAGGGATGATCATCAATTATTTCTATCATACTATAAATGACTTGAGTTTGAACAAAAACTCAACAATAAAGACTTTGAAGAAAATGTTTCAAACCCATCATGCTTATTCCTGAATAGTCAGATGTTGGACTGTGTCCAGCTCATTTGTGCACCTAGAAGGGTATGACTAATGGCATGACGCTATGAAACAATCACTCAATCCAAAAAATTATACCATTAGACATACTCTATGTCTATAGCGTGCCAGTTAAATTTTGAATCTTGCACGTAAAAAACATTTAATTGTAAGGACGGTGAGAGATTTGTAGATCTTTTTATCACTATTGTGATAAATTTTTTTTTATTATTTTTTAGACATCATAACAATAATAAAAATACTCACAAATATAATAAAAATACGCACAACAATGATAAAAAAATTCATAAAAATGATAAATATTTTGATTGTAAAATGACCCATAAAAATTATAAAAATGTCATTTAAATTAATACATTTTTTAGGTATGGTATCAAATTTTTTTTTGGCAGTACTATAATCAAATCCCTTATTAAAACACCATTTACTCCAGCCAAAAAAAAAAAAGACAACATAGTATCCGAAGTTTAGATAACACTCTACATACATACATACATACATATATACAAACGTATAAAAGTGGTCGGTGAAAGCGCGGTGGCCTCAAGAGTCAAAGAGTCAGCTTGCTGTTAGCCAACTTTGCCGGTCCCGCACGTAGGATTTTAACAAACAACACAAAAGGTCGTGCACAATGGATCTTCTGTTGTGTCCCACAATTTGTTGACAAACGATGTTTCCAAACTTCCCTTCACTAAATATAATTAATTAATTATAGACCAAATTATTATTTTTTTTTTCTTTCCTCAACTATAGTTTCAATTTCACTTTGGCCCTTAAATAATTATATTTTCTATATCAATCCCTCGATCATGATTATTAGTTTATACTGTCAGAAAACCAAACTTCTGTCATTTTTTTTACAAGAAGAGTAAATCAGGACAAAAATGAGAATTCATAAAATTACGAGTGACATTTTTTTCCCTATTAAGTTGGGTAAAATTTATTTTTTGTCATAATTTTCTATGAAAATTAATCAATTATTCAACGATAAGAACTGGGGTGGAGGGACATAGAGACTGGGGACACGTGCCCACCCTGAAAAAAAATATTATTTTTGTATATTTATGATTTTTCATTAGGTAGGTGGAATTAGACCCATCCTCATGACCAAAAAGTAAAAATATTAGATCCACTCTAATAAATTTGGACCAACTAAATTTTGTACAAAAAAATAATAAGACCCACTTTTCGCTCAAAGAAATGTGTTAATATGTTAAAGATCTTGAGGAAAAATTGGGCCCACTGCCCACTCATGTACACACAAGTGAAGAGAATAACTCGTTAAATTGTATTGAGTTGTAATTTTTGTTGAGATTTTATTGATTTTTATTTTGATTATTTGCACAAATGGACCCAATCATTTTGGCCTTTGAATTCAAGACATATGCAACAACTAACGAGTGCATGTTATTTTTCCGTAACTTCGACGATCTGCGATTAATGATTGAGCTTATTTTTCCGATACCTGTCAATTTTATACAATTCATAATTGTTTGAAATTGCTATAATTTTTTCAAATTAATGCGACTCAGCTTGAAATTGATTAGTATTAATTTAATTGCTTATATATAGAAATATATTTTTGATAAACATTATTGATAAAGTTATCATACAATCCTTATAAAATCTAAAAAATTGTCCGGGTCTATTCTACATGGATGTAATTAGTCTTATTTTTTTGCAAAAGATTATAGTTAGTCTTTTTTTAATTTGTACCCTTTTCATATATTACATATATTGACGTTTGATCTTTTTATGTTTAATGAGTCTTTAAAATATGCAAATTGATTAGAGAAAATACTAAATTTTGTAACTTAAATGTGTCCATCCTAAAATAAATTTCTAACTTCGCCCCAGGATAAATGAGGTGCACCGTTTAAGGGATCTAAGTAATGATTAATCCTTAAGAAAACATCTCCATGAAATGAAACAACATGGCATTATTAGGTGACAAATGAAATAACATTCCCTCAAATCCACAATGGGTATTGACCATTGGACAGTCTGAAGTTAATAATCATCACTGCAGGAAAGATGATAGACTGATAGTTGAATGAGACGAGAACCAGAATTGAAGGGGGCAAAGTGTAATTTGAGCTTGTGTACGAATTTGGGTGGGTCTCACAACGGTTTGACAAAGGAGGATTCCAGCTTGTTTCTTTTAGTTCTGTGTTGCCTAGTTACACGATTCTTCTGTATCTATTTCGGATTATCGGTTGGTCTATAAATATGTAATCTTGGAGCTCACATTCCTCGCAATCTCTCACACCCACTCGTCTAAATTCCCTTGTCTTTCTTTTCTCTCTGATGTTTTTTGGTTTTCTGCAACTGAAAAGCTTGCTTTGAGCTAGAGAGGAGAGAAATTTGGGTGGAGTGATAATGAGGAGTAACAGTTCTCCGGATAAACTTGACCGCAAAACGATTGAGAGGAACCGAAGAATACACATGAAAAGTCTCTGCTTCAAGCTCACTTCTCTTGTCCCTCCCCACCACTTCAAACCATCCAAGGTACTCTCTCTCTCTCTCTCTCTCTCAGTGAGTCTGTGTGTTTGTTTCCAGTTTTTCTTTTTTCACAGGTTTATGGGATGTGCCAGAACAAAAGGCTTGGGTCATGGAATCATCTAATCTAACCAGAAGCTGATGTATATAAACTGATATTTACTCAATAATTAGTTTTAAAATTATTTTAACCACATCAATGGAGTAGAGTAATTAAAGAACTGGATGTATAACAGCAGCAACTTAAGTGGTCATGCACCAGACCTAATTTCTACGGCCAGAATTGCACTCTTAAATTAAGGAGTATTGTACATAAACACCATTTCAATCACTTCTAATATGAAGATTTCTAATTCGGAACTACCCTTATATTGATTTTTTTTTTATATAAAAAAAAAGCATAATCTGAATATTATCGTGACAAAAAGAACAAACGATTAACACCTAATTTGGTCCCCATGGTGCTGGAAGTAATACTGGATCTAGCATTAGGTCCATTTGGAAAAATGGATGGAACATTTAATGAGGATAGAGGGTTAATTTTCAACCTAACAAGGACAATGTCATTAGCAATTTTCAGCCAGTGGATCTAGGCCAGCACACAAGTATTTATATTTACATTGATGATAGAAATTTAAGATGAAAACAACTGCATAATACTTGTACTTTGCAAATTAAATATCGTGTCCAGACTTGTCAATTCTTTCTGGCCGGATGGCCTTTATTCATTGGTACATGTGTTTCAATCACATGGTACTAGTATAGCACGACAATACTCTTTGTCCAAGGATTATTTTACAGATATGGAATAAACAACGGATACACCTGATCATTTTAAAACTACACAGTCGAGTTAAGGGAAGACAAACTCACAACCACGAGATATTAAACTATGACGTGTTTGAGTTGTATAGAGGGATTTGTTCAATAACGTTATGGTTACTAATTTTTAACGTTTTCAGTTATGAAAATGTAATCTTGCTGCTGCCTCTTCACCATCAACGTTGGCTAATGTTGTTTAACGACTAAATTGACTGGAGTAAACACAAAGTAATGATACGAAACGTCTATGTATCTAATTCAAAAGAGAACCAAATAGGGGCAACTAAATAGGCTTAACTTTAGTGTTTTTTGTCACTCTACCACAATCAATGACTATTTGAATTACTTATTTAATAACAGTAAGACATTATTCGGAAGAAGATGTTTGTTTGGATCATAGAGAAATTAACTAATTATGCACGAACATGCATGATAATCCTTAACAAGATGATCACCATATGTGACAACGTTTTCTTATTTATTTTTTTTTCATTAATATTACCTACTCAAGATTAACTTTTTTTTTTTTTGTTTTTCGACTATTTTCAGGACATGCTATCACAACAAGATCAGCTTGATCAAGTCGCTACGTATATCAAGCAATTGAGAGATAGAGTACAGGAATTAGAGGGGAGGAAGATTAAGCTATCATTGGGCACTAGTGGGAGTAAAAATAATACAAAAGATTCGATTATGACTGGCTCAAGACTGCCGGTGGTAGAACTGCGAGAATCGGGATCTACTCTAGAAGTAGTTTTGGTAAGTGGATTGGAAAAGAACTACTTGTTGTATGAAGTCATTAGCATTCTTGAAGATGAAGGAGCTGAAGTTTTGAGTGCTACCATGTCAACTGTTGGTGATAAGGTTTTCCACACTGTCCATGCTCAGGTAATTAATCACCAGATGCTTTCTAGTATTTGTGTTATGGTGTAAAATTAATGGCTAATAATGTGGCTAAAGTATAAGATAAGTACTTTTTCTTTTGTATCTTTTCGTTTTATCCCTTGTTCCTTGTAAACTTAGTGGCGTTTTGATATATAATAAAAATGTGTATACATAGACATTTATCAATAAGATGCATATAAATAAGTTTTGCAAAAAACTAATTAAACATACACATATATATATTTTTTTACAACATTGTTTTTTGCTTGAAGAAATTACTTTGAAAAAACGTTTATAGATCGTACAATGATAATTGAAGCTAAATATTATTTGGGGTTCTTTGTAGGTGAGAATTTCTAGGTTTGGTGTGGAGACTGCAAGGGCATGTCAGAGATTGCAAGAACTGGTTTGCTGAATTTTTTTTCAAAGTTTTTTGAGTAACTGCAAGATGAAGAGCTCTACCAGAAGGATAGGAATTAGAATTTGTTCCCATTTTGTGGGTTTTTTATCTTATCCTTAAGAAAATCAATGTACCAAAGAAGGGATTTTGATCTGGTTGTTACTGTAGACCTTAAAGGCACACCATATATAGTTCTATTAAAGCTGTAACAATGAGTATATTTGTATTTTTCAGATTTGAATAAAATAATTAAGTTGAATCTCCCTAACTTTGCATTTCTCAATTCCTGTCTTTCAGGCATTTTATCTTTTATAAAGCTAGCTAGGTGACCTACATCTGAGAATGTACTAGTTCTAAAATCATCAATAAATTGGATTTATTTCCAAAACAAAAAAAACCCGTGGCCCGAGTTAATTCACGGACTCTGCTCTGCTTAGGTCAAAATATATGGATCGACGACGATACTCACCTAATATTAAACGTATTAGATACGCAACATACACCACCAAGTAGGGTGGTCTAGTAGGGTACCGGTCTTACTTCTCACCTTAAGATTGAGAGTTCGAGTCTTGGAGTCCCTGTTGGGGCTTGGTGGTTGGCCGCTATGCTAGCCTAGTTAGGTCTGGTCCCAAGAGATGTTCCAAACACGGTCAGGAGCTTTATGATCCCACCGATGAAGGCCTATCATTGCAGGTTGAGAAAACGAATTTGAATTGTGGTACCGAACTTATACATGAACTTCATATTTTCTGTCCAAATATCGATNAAGTGGCCGCTGAACACTCTTATTTGGCCCCACCTCTTTATTTGCTTAGAGAAAGATACGCATCATATAATACATTACAAGGTGTAATAAAAAAATTTTATTTGAGATACACCTGGAAAATGGATATCTAAAACCTATATGCTTCCGATATGGAAGTTAATACGCCCAGTAATATGTTTAATTTGTAATTTTAGTCCTTAACTTATCTTTTCAATTTGACAGACAATGTTCTATTATTATCGTTAGATTAACACAGAGTCTTGGAACGGACTAGGGTCAACGCCATATCAACCCAAAAAATAAGTTCCATTCATATGTGGGAAAATGAATACGAGGGTGGTCCCGTCCGTCATCTGTGGGAAAATGAATTTGTTGGTTTGTTCTGTCACTACTGATACTAACCAGTACTTATTGTTTTCTTACATAGAGACAATCCCTCATTGTCAAATTGAATTTTAGCAGTTTATTGTTCAGGTACATTAAATCAAAAATCATTGCAGGTTGAGAAAACGAATTTGAATTGTGGTACCGAACTTATACATGAACTTCATATTTTCTGTCCAAATATCGATATGACAAGAGTCTTTTGAACTAAAGTTGTTCTTTTTATGTATGTAATAATAATTGTTCTGTGCGATGAACATCTTGCCACCCCCACCTCTAGCCCCAATCACTATCCCTTGACATATTTTCACAAAAGTATTTTTCTCTATCTCCGAGAGTTACAGTTAGAGATAAAATTAGAGTCTAGTTTAATGGGAGTAGTTATTGTTTTAATTAGAGAAAATTTGAATTTATATTTAATAATTTAAAAACATAAAAACTTAGAAAAGTGGTAGGAAAGACTTCTCAAATCTCCTATCTAAAACATAATTGTTATGGTAACATAGATGTAAGTGTGTAGAGGTATATATAATATATAAAATATGCTTCAACTAGGGTTATTGAGAATAAACTCTTTTGAAGAGATAACACTAGCATACCAAAAAAATAAATTCAGGGTAGGCCAGCATGTAGCTCTTACTTTTCTCTCTTATCTCTGGTGTGGACAGGTTCCCCTCATTTTTGGGTACATATGAATATAGTCCACATTGTTTGGCCCACGACAACTACGTCATCAATAGTTCACTTAAAAGGCCATTTGCGCCATTCTCAAAAGGTTTACTAGGCTCAAGGAGGGAGAGGGTGTTGCTAAAATTCAACTCAAATAGATTGTTATTTTTTGTCCCATTCTCATCAAAAGGGGCCTCACCATGGAGGATGCCGCTAAAATTCATATCAAATTGATGATAACTTTGTCTAATGAAAAAAACAAAGTGTGGAAACGTATTTGAATTGAGCAAGTGGACATTTACGAGCAACAAGTTTACATATTTTTCTTTCTAGAATATGCATGAATGTGAGTATGGTTGCTCAGCCTCACAGAGATCATATTGGTCGACAAACTGAAGATGGACAACCATGGTCCTAATCTTACCAACAACAGACGTGTACTAATCAAAGAACCCCCAAAAACCAACTTTTTTTTATCTAACAAAATCAACTAAGCCTAACTGGTCATGACATATTGAATATTTATTGAGTTAGAGAGACTTTCGCTGACTGAATCTATCCATAAATCCAGACCTGATAACCTTCATAACTAAAACTTCACGACAACATACAAACTATAAGGACTTAATCAAGAAATTAATTTAATACGCGCAGTCCAACTCCTTGTTGGCCAATTATGGTCTCTTAAATCACTTACGTTACCTTTTTTTTAACTTTTAATTTTTTTATTGTTGATACGTTTTGCCTTTAATTATTATTGATTGGCAACGCTTAGTCCAACTTTAGATTTTTTTGAAAACAATCGCGGTGGGTCCCTAGATTAGGTTTGAATGGTATTTTTCTATATTTTTTCCTCCAAAAGTCACAATCTCTCCATGACTACCACCAAATGTCACTATGAAACCATGTAATTTAGAGGGTTGTTCATTGGTTTACAACGTTTATAAAACGTTCTTGTAGTCTAAGGATCAAATCATGCAGTCGTTAGGCTACCTTCAGTTCGACACTAAAATGTATAATTTGTACTATCCATTAACTTCTCAATAACTAACAATTATTTTTTTAATTTTATTCAAAAAATCATTTTTTATCACCCAAAAAATTTATATAATTGTTTATCTAACTTCTCAAATGATAATTATTTATTTTTTTTAAACTCATTATTATACCACTTCGGCATCAAGTTTATTACATTTGATGCATGTAATTTTTGTAATGACATAAATACTCGTGTTTTTTAATCAAATGTCGGGAGTGCGAGTAAAATTTACCCTTTCTTTTTGGGTCATTGTCTCGTGTGTGATATCTGACAACACTCATCCACGTGTAGCTCCTTGTCCACTCCTGATTCTTGTTTGATGAATTTTTGTAATACTAATAATAACTACTTAGGTGGGTCGTTTGTTTGATATATTTCCTAAATTACAAGCAAGTAAAGCATGATTAGCAAAAAAAACGAGGTCAAATTATACATTGACTTGTCTAAGTCAAACAAGCAGTTCTTATTTTTTCTGAAATTAATGTGGGAGAGATCAAAACCGTGTGAAAAGCAGATGTGTTTTGGTCAACAATGGTGATCTTTCATTTTCAACCATCAGCATAAAAAAGGTGTGAATTTGCCTCCCATCCAAGAATCTACGTTCCTGATTATAATTGGAAAAGGCACTTTTCAGTTTTTAGTATAGGTGAAACTGACAGAGCAGTAGTTACGGTTTGCACAACAACCCCCTCCGCCCTGCTAATAGATTTTATGATTTGTTTGGTAGGATGGATAAAAGTTACAAGAGATAGAAAATAGAAAAAATATATTTTTTATCCTTCGAAAAAGAAAATTAGGAATGACACACTTTTTTTTTTTTTTTTTGTATTTGATAAGATGGATGAAAAATAAAAATAATTTATTTTGTTTATTCTTTGTAAGATGGAATAATATTTTTTATTTTTTTATTTTAATTTTTTTTTAAAAGTATAATTATATATTTTATTATTTTATTTATATATGAAATTAATATATAGATAATATATATAGACAAATAACGATATATTGACAAATAAGATACATTTCAACATAAATAACTAATTTTTCATCTACTTTTCTTCTATTTTTTGAAGGATTAATTTTGGTAATTTAGAAAGAAAACTCATTTATGCACTTTTTCATCATTCATATTTTTCTTTCTTATCAAATATAATGTTTTATTTATCCTCCTAATTTTTCATCCATCCTACTTTTTATCTTTTCATTTTTCCATTGTATCAAATGGAGGATTATAGTTATGAATTCGAATTTCATCATATTCCTCGTTTTTAAAAATGTGTGACAAATCCTAAGGGATAAGTCAATGGTAACAGAGATGAGATATAAACATATACATCTTAAGTTTAAATCTCAGTAAACCTTTGAACCCATATTATGAGGGATTTATTCCATGAATACCGTAGTCTCAATATGAATAATCAGTCTTTGACCAAATTGGAGAAGAGATAAATGGAGGTACGCGTAAGTAGGCCAAAACACTCCAGACTATTAAAACAAAATAAAAAAAATTGATAGAGTGATTTGGGCAAGATTTGAATTTTTTTTATTCCTTTTTTGTTAAGTTGGATTTATAAAGAATCAACTTGCACTGGTTTAATGATCGTAAAATGAGACATTAATCCCCACGTTGAGTTTGTATCTCTTGTTTCGTATAAAACTCAAATTCAATCAATAATTTGAGTAATTATGTGTTTTTGAGATTTACATTGTAACTATAAATTAACATGCCGAAGTATCTCTAATTTACTTAAAGAATTAATATATTCAACAAATATACTCCAAACATGTGCAACAAACTCAAACAAACTAAGATATTCTTTATGAATATTCTAGTCGTGGTTGGCGTAAATGATCTGTTTTTAATCGAATTAGGGAAAAAATTAGTCGAGATGTACGTAAATTGACCTATACACCTTTGATCGTTGAATCAAAAGTAAAAAAGCTCGTGGCTTCCAACATTTGCAAAAAAAAAATAAAAAATTACAATATGTAATTCCTTCCTAAATATATCTCAAAATTACTACTTAAAATAGCGGCTCAATGCACGAGTGTTCCTCTGGTTGGGTCAAGAGAGAGTTAAATATATGCAATTTAAATCTTCAATAAACAAGGATTGTTTTCGTGATTTGAATCCTTAAAGCACAAAACACAATGACATAATCTTACTGCTATGTCTAAGTCCACATCTCAAAATTACTAAAGGGCCACAAACATGTGGTCCTGTCCAGGTATGGGCACAAGAATTCTAAACCAACAGGCCCAAACTTAATGCTTGCCAAATGGGCCTTCAAGTGGCCCGACAACCAATTTCCACCCATTGTTGAGGCCCAAATTTGAATTTACCTAGTGGACCACAACTTATTCTTGTTCATAAGTGTTGTGAACGAACCAACCCTAATCTAATAATTTCGTATTAGTTTCGTGACGTGTTGATATGTTAGCTCCAAAATTACCACTCATTTGACCAAAAAATAAGGTGGATAGAGAATATGTAATGGGTGCATGGGTGTGCTGCATTATTCTCCATAAAATTAATCTATTGAGTCTAATCTTTTTTTTTATTATTATTGAAAAGATACATATATCTATATCATTATGGCTAGGAGTGTCAAATTTTGACTCGAACACGAACTTGAACATAACACAATTAGTTGACATGAGTAATAAATGGGTCAAATTAAGGTTCGACACGAATAACACGATTAATGGATACAGTAGATAAAAAATAATTATTTAATGAATACTATAGATAAAAAATAAGAATTTTATATTTTTTAAAATAGTATTATATTAGTTGTTGTCAAATTAAATAATTTTTTAATAACACGAATATTGACACGTACCGAAAGTGATACGACATGAAAATAACACGACCGAAAGTGACACGACACAAAATTGATACGACACAACACGATTAACACCCCTAATTACGGCAATTAGATTTGAGTTTCATCCCTCTTTTTTCTTCCACCCAATTCTATCCAACAAAGTGTCTCAAATAACTGTCCACAAACTCTCTCAAATAATTATCCATTAGTTTTTTTTAACTTGTAAGAAAAAAAAATGATAGATTATAAATTCCGTGCACAGCGAGGTCGAACTCTATTAAAATGAGAGTGAATGAAAAAATGAAAGAGAAGAAAGAATAGGAGGCCAATGGGAGATCCAAAATCATTGAATAAGGATAAGATCGCGTCTTTACTGTCCTATGTTATAAAAAAAAAATATTGTTGATCTTATTCACTTATAAGTTTATTATTGGATGATGACATCATATTAAAATGACACAATGAGTAATGCTAGACTGACAAAAAATAGGAACTAGATAACGGCTCCGACTCCATGTCTAAGAGAAATGGAAGATCTACACATTACAATTTTAAATTCTTTTATTACAATAATTTCACGTTATTTGATCACTAATTTTTTATCTTTATTTTTGGCCAATCTAGCATTAATAGGAGGCAATTCCAATTGTCCACATGGTGGTTATTTTTCTACATGAACGCGATAGCTACTAAATTAAATGGAGTTTACTTTCTTACATGTTAGTTTGTTATTAGACAATGACACCATGAGACAATGGTAAAATGGTGTCACCGTTATACCCAATCTTTACTGAACATGTACGTACTACTAGTCTTCTCTACCGACTCTCCTTTTCATGAGAAAAAAATATTCAATGCAACGGTAATACTGCATTTGCATCTTCCTTGGGCTATACTACTTCTTCTGTCTTGCCAATTATTTATCTAATTATCGAATTAGTAAAAGAACCTAATAGAGGAACACATTGGTTAAGATTACAACATTAAAAAAAAAAAAACTTGAGACACTTTAAATCAAATTGCAACACAGTCCTTATTCCTTGAAATTGAAACCAAAAACGTAACAATTTTTTTTCCCTCAATTGTGTACCCTTCGAATTATCTTCCAATACTCCTCTCTTCCTTGTAAATGTATTTGGGATTATTATTTCCCCCAAAAAGAAAGACAAAACAAAAAAAATAATATGAATTTGGGTCGCTCATTTTTTCCGTCCATTCGGATCAAGAAAAAAAACAAAAGAAAAAGACATGGAGTCATCCCGAACTTGATAAAATTCATCTCCAATTATAATGTGTAACTGATGGCTGAAGGTGTAACTCAGGTGTTACGAGCACTGCCGGAGAGTTGAACCTCAGATGGCTTTACGTCGCTGGTGTCCTCGTCCCACTTGGTTGTGCGATAGTAGGTAGCATAGAGTATGAGCTGAACTAATCCAGACAATGTTCCCAAACCATTGGGAATCTGTCATATCCAAACACATCACAACCAAAAAAAAAAAAAGAGAGAGAGAAAATATATTCGTTAGATAATTCATTAGTTTTTTTCTTTGTTACATTCTCGAGCGACAGAAATTATGTATTCTAACAATTACACAAGCAAATCTCCCATGAATACGTGCGTATAAGTGAACTTTCATAAATACACAGTATATGAGCAGAGCAGCTATCTGGTACCATAGAAATATATTCAAGGGGATAAGACCTAGAAAAAATGCCTCTAGCATGGATTAAACCTTTTTTGGGTAAACAGGACTGACTGTTAAGGGCAATGAAGTAATTTCAGCACTTTCCTTTTTTGGGTTTTGTTTTTGTTTTGTGGGGGTGCCGACAACAGTACCCCAAGCAATAATCATGAGCTGATTTCTAATGACCTGTTTGGTACGATAAAAAAATAAAAGAAAATTGAAAGAATAAATAAAATAACATATTTGATAAGAAAGAAAAATAAAAAGGATGAAAAAGTTGATGGATTAATTTTTTCTTTTAACTCACCAAAATCAATTCATTTAAAATCGAAAGAAAAATGGATAGAAAGTTAATTATTTGAATTGAGATATATCTTATTTGTCTATATATTATTTATATATTAATTTCATATAAAAATACAATGATAAAATATGTGTGTGTGTATATATATATATATACTAGTTATTGTCTGTGCCTGACAGCACATAGTAATAAAAAATGATAAACAATAAATATATTTATATTTATATTCAAAATCAAATCACAAATATAGAGAAAAGATAAAATAATTTAAATATCGATTTGTAGTAGGTGTGAGAGGTAGTAGACAACAATGACAGTGGTAGTAGAAGACGGTGATGATTGTGATACGTGGTAATGACTGTGGTGATGGTGGCAATGGCGTGAATGGCGGCGATGGTGGCGGCAGTAGAAGTGATGGCGGTGGTGGGGGGTAGCAGTGGTGGTGAGACGGTTTCAAATACTATTTTTAAAAAACAAATATTTATGAGAAATAATTTTTAGAAGTGCTTTTAAAAAGTCACTACAAATACATCCTTAAGAGTCTATTTTTCCTATTAAATTTAGGGTGTTAATATTAGCCGTTAGATTAATTTTAAAGTAAAATTTAAAATGATCTCAATCATGAATAGCAAAAATCATTTTGTTTATCTTTTAAAACTTGAAATGTAATATAAAATAAATTTTAAATTAAAAAAAAAAATTCAATCTTAATTAGGGGGTGAAAATTTTCAATTCAAGACTATGACACGACTTAAATTCGACATGAATTTTATGACACGAACTTGATTATAATTCGACATGAATTTGAAAATTACCTAACACGCGAATAAGAAATATAAAAGACTCAAATTCAGTTCACCCAGTCAAACTCAAAATTGACACCATCAACTCGCAATTCGACACGACACAATTAGTTATATGAGTTGAGTTAGATTTACTACTGTTCGACATAAACTCGTAATAATTTAACACGAATTTGACATGACACAACTCGATTGTCACTCTTAATCTTAATCAGCACAAATAAATAATAATAATAATAATCATTTTTATTTTTCATCCATCTAACCAAACACAAAATAAGAAAAGTGCATCATTCCTACATTCATTCCTTAAAAGATAGAAAATGTATCCCTTTTACTTTCTATCCTTCCTACCAAACAACACATAATTGATTAGATCACGCATAATTGATTAGATCGGTATAACATTGCTCTTTCTTAAAACAACCCGCATTAAGTTTCCTAAACACTTAGAATACCACACCATGGATCCAGCTAGTTGCAGGACTGAGAGTTGATAATTACTGTGATTGTTATACATATTTTGGTTGTTTCTGGGTTGACTCGTTTAATTTACTTAACACATAGATCAACACAACATTATTATACACGATAATACATAAAATTATAAATAAGATATGCACGAGTTGACCAAAAGTTTAGCACAACAAAACATTAATACAAAGCGATGCCAAGCATTTTCAATTATTTAACCAAAGGAAACATCAAAGGCGAGTTTATGTCGAGAGTAATGGTAAATGAACTTAAAAATTAAACTTAATAATCTTAACTATTGAATAGGTAGTGGGTCCCAATAAATACTGAGACCCACAATAAAATCAATAGTTCTAATTTTTAATTCTAATTTTTAACTCCATGTAATATTGCTCATATGACAATAGATAAGGATGCATACAAACAAATTAATGTGAGATTGACTTTGTCATAGGAAATAGAGTCTATAATTCAAACAATTGGAAGAACATAAGTCTTTACCAGAATGTAAGGATCGAGTGGAAGGAGTGCGTAAATAAACCAATTTACGCCATTAGCGAAGTTGGCTAGTGACAGGAAAAATGGCATGTATTTCACACTCTTGGTCGTGATCACCTTACGCTGCCAAAAACAGATCGAGATAGTGAACACACATTCAAATACACAATCATTTTAAAGATCGATCCTAATATTTTTGGATCGACATTATCAGTTGTATCCTTTATGTGTGTGTATATATGGAATACAGAAGATAATGCACGTACCATGACGGTCAAGGGGGCAGTGTACATAACGATATTGAAGATGATACACAGTATCCCAATGAGCATAGACCTTTGTTTGGTTCCATGAAGAAATGTCAAGGTGACGAAGACTACGATGGCCAAGAAGAGAAATTCTACAAAGAGAGCAATAATAATCTTGCGCTGCATATACAATCAAAGTATTAATACAATAATGGCAACTAAAGTGAACCAAAGAACCGTCTCAACCATTCCTATGCATTATTTACACTCGAATATTGCATAAATTCAGGATGTGTGCAATCACCCGCTGAATTAGTACATTTCCGACATGAGCAACCTTGGAAGTTGGAACAATATTTGAATGAATTGGAAGTAAAAAAGAAAATGAAAATCAAGATAAAAGCATAGAAGACGTTCTTTGGTAACAAAAAACCGTCCTCAACCCTATGTTTTCTTAGACTCGTGATTATAATATAAATGCAGTGGGCAAAGTAAAAACTGCTCGAAAAAGAAGTAAAGTGAACTAAAAGCATTTAAGATGACATACACGTTTAGGCCAGTCTGAGTAGAGGAGGAAGATTGTGACATATATGACCTCGATCACGAAGCCAGTACCGTTGATTGTGATGACCAAGAGGCTGTCTGGGTGGACAATGGGGAGGCCATAGAACACCCACATAGCACAGTTGAGTATAGTTGCAACGTACGGATCTGGCTTGTACTCTTCCACTGATTTTGCTTTCCATATATTTATGAACGTAGGCCTGCATGCAGTTCATGCACCAATCAAGTGTATAAATTTGATCAGTAATCGCTTAATAATGATAATCAAAGACAAATGGGTGTGTGTGTGTGTGAGAGAGAGAGAAAGAGATTACACAGGGGAGAGAAAAAGGCAGAAAGATATGATATTTCCTGCACACAGAGAGAGCAAAAGTTAAAAAAGAATAGGGACTAGATCATCAATGCCGTGTGATATTATCAAAATCTACCAAGTACAATTAATATATCAATTATTTTAATGATCTGCCATATTCAATAACCACGTTATTAGATTAAGTGCATTTCCATAATTTATTTGTTACAATACAATTTTTTTTTTTTTTAGAATGGATATTAGTAATTCAAAAGGAGAGGCCCATTGGCATCGATCAAAAGGTTACGTTATCTCCAAAATAAATTGGGATCGATTTTAAGAAATTAGAGAAACTTTGGTCGCCAGACAAGGGTAAAAAAACGGAGTGAAAAGAATGAATGAATGAGTTAAATAAAGAATAAAAACATGTACAAACAATCAAGAACGATTAGTGTTGTGAACACAAACCGAGGAGTCCTATGATTGTCCTTGCTGTGTTAACGTCTGCCATCTCTCAATCTCAGACCTAGAGCAAAAGAGAGAGGAGGAGAGGAAAGGAATGAATATAATGTGTTGAATGACAACGAAAAAAGAGGAAGAGGAAGAGAAGAAGAAGGAACAGGTGAGAGAAATTCTGATGGATTATATGGATATACGCAGATTGCAATATATCAATTGTTCATGAGGCCTTCGGTCATCAATTTAAATGGTAATGGACACAGAAATTTATCTATTTTTGGATATAGAGCACAACTTTTTATCTCAAAAACACCTGGCTATACGCAAATATCTGATCTGAAACTCTCTCTCTCTCCCCTATGTGTGGTAACTTATGTGTACGTGCGTGCATGCAACTAATCTACAAAGGGGAGATTATGGATTAGTTATCTGTCATATCGAAGCGTAATTTCCTCGTTGGTTTCTAAACTAGAAATAATTTTTTGGGAAAGTTGACCAGAGCCTAGAGGACCTCAATCCATGTCCAAATTCAAACATGCTCTCGACCCTCCATTTCCCATATGTCTATGTGAAAGTCTTTGGCTTTTCAAGATCCCATTTATCATCAACTTAGTCAAATCTTACTGTTCGTTCGCTTTGATTTGGTTTCTCTTTAATGGATACGATCGGCATTTCGTGCCTCCAATACACTTGAGTTCAACCTTTTATCGATGTGTTGAATACTGTAATAAAATTGGATCCCAAAAATAGATAGATTAATTTATCAATTTAGCTAGGATCCTTGCTCAAATAAGTAGAGGGAGAAAACCGTTCAATAGTTTGTTCATTGTATTACTTTTTGGGTACTTTACGTGGATGAACCTTTAAATCTCATCTTCATTCTTCATTTTTTGCAATGGGATCATACAAAAGGACAGAATTTGTATGACTAACTATATGAAGTAATACTGAGTTTGATTTTTGACAATTTATTAGAGTCAAGTTATGAGGAATTTATGTCTTATAAATATTTTAATCTCAGTGTAGATAATTTGTCTTTGATCGAACTGGAGAAGGGATAAGTCAAGGAGTGCGTAAATTAATCCGAACACCCCTAACTGTTAAACTAAAAAAATAATATCAACACATAAAGTTGAACTTACCCAAAAAAGAATGGTGTTCAACAATTCATATATACAATTGTCCTACTAAAGTGTTCCACTGAACTTTGATGATGGACTTCATTCTTCATTGTCAATCCAATCAGGCCCAACCTCTGCAGTACCCATGTGGTGTGTAGCTAATCATTCATGAAAGGTCGAAGAAAGATGAAAATATAACTAGAAAAATTCACAAATGAAAGGCTTGATTGATAATGCACTTATACTAACATTATCATGAAAATTACAATGATACTGATTGCTTTGTTCTTATCAACATCACCACTTCCACTACACTATATGGTGATTGTGATGGCTGAGGTTTTTCATTAACTTGTTAAGCAATCAGAGAGATGGGAATTAGTCATCAGCATCATCATTCTTTAAGCCTGAAAATAAAAGTTACAGATATTTAATGCAATTTATCAGCTTGCAAACTATTTAGGGGCAATACCTAGCCTGGGATTAACTATGGACTTGACTCATTGGAATTTTAATTAAGGAGTTTCCCTTGATAAAATACAAGTTAATTTTACTTAAAAAGTTCTCCCAATTTGAGTGTTTGCCAAGATTTTTCTGACCACTAGTAAGTGCTGAGTCGGGAATTTGTTTAAAGGGGATAAAATATAACCAGAAAAAAAATTACCATCTAATACGAAGAAAATTTTAAGATCAAATACAGAAAAAATATATTAAAAATCAAGACTAAATTAATATATGAAACAATCAAACTAGTTTTTATTTAGCCTAAACAAAATCTGAATAAAAAATAGGACTGAATAAACAATTTTTAAAAAAAATTAGAGGGGCAAATGAAAAGAATTGAACAAAATTATGATAAAAAAATGTGACATAAATGAAGAAGATCCAAAATTAAGGGGCAGTCCTAACGTGACTCCGCCCCTGTGACCGCGATGCGTCGGAAAGTAACCTGCAAATTTATTTCAATTTCCCAAGGAAATTCTTATGACCAAGGTAATTGAAGTTTTTTATGTTGAACAACGTAGAGCAAGTCCAATATATCTTCTCTCCACGTATGCTTGATTTTTCAATATGTCTTCTGGTCTATTAGTTATTTTTTGGCATAATACAAAAAATAACTTAGCAACTTAGCATATGCTTAGCCCAAATGCAGTACATTATGTTCTGTAATCGAGCATGATGGAGTGAAATGTCTTACTCTATGACTCATCTTCATTCTATCACACTGCATATTTTCTTCTTTTTTTAACACTTCTTGAAGCCGGTTCATTCCTAGGGCTTGTTTAAATGGATTTTTGGGGAGAGTTTGGATTAACTTCTTCAAACTCTTTCAAATTTAAACTTCTTTTTACAAGATGAGAATCAACATTAAATTTCGTCTATACCCATTTTTAATATATAACGCATACACATGCAGAACTCATAGATATATCATAATTATTAATAATTATTTATCTTATAAATGATTATTTTACTCTTAATCAATCAAATTCATATTCATGTTAAGAGGTACAATTATCTTTTAGATCTTTAATCCCTTAACTCATTTTCACAAATTCATCCCCTAGTTTTGACGAAATCCCTGATCATGGAATTAATATTCGAGTCAGTTATGGGCCAGGTTTGGAAACTCGAGATCAAATTTTCAATCAAAACATGAAATTTAGGGTTCTTTAGATTATTTTTCCTAAACCCATCTTACAAATCCCCCCATACCTTTTTACCAAACACCCCCCACCTTTTTACCAAACACCCCCCTTAAAGGTCAAGGTTTGTAACTACACTCAAGGACATTATTTTTTTAACACAATTTATTTTATGTGTATGTGTGTGGAGTCTCGTTACAATATGGAAAAGTATTTTTTAGTACCAATAAAAATGTGTTACGTGTATAATTTTTTTATTATCTTTTTAATAAACGATTGCAAATCATTTAATTCAAAATCAATAACAGCGATTAACCGAGATACAATACCGACTTTTAGTAACGTAACCTTACCCATGTGATGTTATTGTACAGTATAAAAGAGGGTTTCTTCAATAGATCTACCCATATCGTGGATCTTACGGTTACATGACATTATTTCTTTAATAATATTTTACCCATTTTTTTTTTGAATTTTATATATTAGATAATTTTGATCTTATTACAATAGAACCCATCGGAGATTCTAATTAGTTCCTCAAAGTACTTGTGGTTTATTACATGTCTATTAATCTGACCATGTTTGGATTTCTTAATATGTAATGTATAATGATGGAGATTTATAGTATTATTCAATGAAATTTCATATTAAAATTATAATTAACAATTCATGGCTGAGTTATACTATGCCAAGTAATCATCTCAGTTGTTTTCTCAATGAGCTGGCAAATTGGAGCAAAGAAAACTTTGATCATAAATTTGAACAAATGCTTAGAAGATTAAATATACAAAGTAGGGACACAATCCAAGACTCGATTCCCAAGTTGACATCCCAACTAAAAAGTGCGGTGGTGTTCGAAATTTCCATCATTACAGAATGTAAAATATTATATATATACAGTCTTATCTCTTCGTACAGATATATTATTTTTACGATTCAACCCGTGTCACCAAATTCAAAATAGAATAATTTTATCGTTGCGCTAAAACCCGACTTTGCCAATATACTTTAGAGCCAGTTTACCTAGAATACGGTTGTTGTGATAGGAACAAGAAAACCTTCCTCATAATTGCATACTTGACATGAAAATCGGGTCATCTTATAGATAATCATATGTTAAGGTAACTTTCTATACTTCATTGATTAAATTTCTTAAAAGGAATCTTGGGCTTGTTCTATGAGGATTACAACGTACGACAGCATGTTTAACAGGCCCCATTATGAATGCCAGCAAAAGTACAGCTCTCATAAACCTACAATTATGTTCCCAGAATAGAATAAATGTCCTAATTACGTGGAATCAATCTAATTACTAGAACAAAAGCATTTGGAGTATGGAGTATAGGAACGTGGACCAAACGTAAAGTCGGAGTTTCCTACAATTTTGTAAATATTTTTGGGACAAAAACTCTAATTTGAAGGCTTAAACAATGGAATTAAGTCGAAAATAGTATACGTCATGGCACTTATCCTACTCCATTCCGACTCCAATAACAACCGTTTTGTTTTTACTTTTACTTTGTCATATTGTAAATACATGCTCATATATAAAAGGCAGCCAAATTATAGACAATGATTTTAATGCATATACTATTCGATAATAAAGATAAATTAATAGATCATCATGACTAAGAATGCCGTGTGCGTCATTCCACTGTTTATGAAACCAACAATTTTCTTATTTTATTGCCATTTTTTTTTCATATTTTATGGCTCAATTCAACAGTATCTTTTTTGGCCCATGTTTGGACCAAAATTGTCATAACCATAAGTTCCTGGATTCAATCAATCAAGACAAGAATACTTACATTATTAGTGATGTTGATCCCTTATCGACCTACCCCACCAGAATGGTTTGTTTACCATAACAAAACAAGATTTCAGTTCAAATTTTCCAATTTGAGGAGTCCCGAGTAGCTTTCCGGACATTTAGAGAAAGAAGCGTGTATCATTTAGTATTTGTGAAGACTATTAGTGCTCTGTTTTGCATCAATTGGGTCAGAACATTACAGAGTTATTAGATAACACGCTTGTACGATACTGGACATTATAGTTGACATTTTTTGGAGAATCGGGGTGTTACAGACTGTCATAAGTTTAGCTACTTAGGATGATCACCTGCGGGAAGGAATTATTAATAAACTAGAAATTTGGCAAGAAACCCAAGAATCAAAATGATTTAGGATAAGTTTTTCATGACCAAAAAACAAATTGTAATTTTATTGAAAGAAGAAATTGAAATCAGGAAGTTGTGAATATTGAACATCAAGAGATACTAGAGAGTGAACATTTTACATATTTAAGTTCTATTATTCACAAAGAGCGTGAGATTGACATCGATGTTATGCACATAATTAATGTTGGATTGACTAAATAGAAGATTGCATCCGGTGTATTGTGTGATAGACGTATACACCCTTAGAAAGAAACAACATGTTCAAAAGTTATATCCGATAGAAATGAGAATTTTAAGATAGATGTGTGATAAGACTAGGAAATATAGAATTAGGAACGAATATGTAGGGGGAAAAAATGGTTTTACCTCACGTAACTCTCTTTTCTAGATCTGAACTCAAACTTTGTCGACTCCTTCTTGTAAAACGAACAAATTGTCAAGGATCAAAGTGCTTCGATCGAAGGCACTCCGATGCTTAAGTGAATAATTAAAGAATGAATGGGAATGCAAAAAGGACTCAACATGCCTTCCCTGTGCTTTGCTCATTCCTTTTTATAATGATTCCTCTCACTAGGGTTTCAGTGGTAGACGCTA